GGTTCGATGGTTGCAAACCAAGGGGGATTGGTTCGATGGTTGCAAACCAAGGGGGATTGGTTCAATGGTTGCAAACCAAGGGGGATTGGTTCAATGGTTGCAAACCAAGGGGGATGGGTTCGATGGTTGCAAACCAAGGGCACATTTACCTAAGATGGAAAGGCAATTTAGTGTCACCCGGGGCTTTACTGTATTGGCCACCATTTGTGTGATACCTAAACTCTTCATGGATTAAAAATAGACTGCCATCGAGTCCCTGGCAACTCACCACAGCCCCATAGTTTCCACGGCTGTAGCTCTTTCTGGGAGCAGCCTCGGCTTTGGGCTGTAGATCTTTCTGGGAGTAGCCTCAGCTTTCTCCCAACCTTGATGGTAGCAGTCCAGCTCTTACCCAACATTGCCATTCCTAACATCCAAACCAAACTCACTGCCAGTCAGCCAGTTCTGACTCACAGTGACCCTGTAGGATAGGATAGAAGGGCCCCATAGATTTCTAAGACGATAACTGGGCGTAGAGAGCCTCATCTTTTGACCCCCGAGAGGACTGCTGATCTTGCCGTGTGCAGGCTCATGTGTAGCCCACTGGCCCAAGGCATGGCATCGGGCGATTACACTGGAACTCTCAGGGACCAGCAACGTTCACACTTGCATGCGTAGCTCAGACAAAACGTTTGCAGGTACCATAAATCCAGGAGTCATGAAGGTGCCTCTGAGAAAGAGGTTTGAGGTTTTAGTTCCGTCTCTGTGCCGCAGAGATGGCTGGAGAGTGACTCTTCCGCTTTAGTTGGTGAGGTTAATTTCCCCAGGACTGATCCTTTCGTTGAGGAAAGCTGTTTGGAATGTTCCATCGTCAACTCTCACTTGTCTAATCAGTTTATGACTGGTTTGTAAAGCACAGGAGCCCTAGCGGCACAGTGGGTTACAAGGTGGGAGGTCAGCAGCTCAACATTACAGAGAGGTGGGACTTGCTACCTCCGTCAAAATTTACAGCCCCAGAAACCCGCAGGAGGACTTCGACCCTGTCCCACAGGGGAGCGACGAGTCAGAATCAAGGCTGTGACAATGCCCTGAGTTGTTTTAGCGTGTGTGTATGTGTGTGAGAGAGGGACGCAAATGCAGCCGACCCAGCAAAGAGTAAGGAGTAAGTGGGTCTTTTAAGAAAATCTGCTAACATCTGTACAAATGTGCTTGATACCTTGGATGTATGCATTGTTATAAGAGCTGTAAGAGCCCCCAATAAAATGACTTATTCAAAACAAAACAAAACAAAAACAAACTCTGCTAAGATCGGTTAATCCGTACCTGGAGGCACGACTTGAATTAAAAGCAGCACACCCCCTCCCAGGAACAGCACCCCGGCTATGATGTAACGCCGGGGCAGGGTCCGCAGGAGCAGCCACGCTGTGATGTACGCTGGGATTTCAATCAAGGCAGAGAGGAAGCAGTTCAGGTAGGCATCTCCGTGTAGATTAGGTGCATTGAGAGACAGAGCAAAATAACCCACAGAAGTTAGCATCCTGAAAGGCAAAATAGAAAGGATTCAATTACAAATTGATTGCTTGAGTCACTCTAAAATTTCATGAAGATCACTAACTTGCCTACATTTTGTTGTCCTATAAATAGCCACTAGCCACCGGTGACTTTATAGACACATTGAAGTTAAAACAAGTTAAAAATTCTTACCCACATGTCAAGTATTTAACAGTCCCCTGTGGCTACCATATTGGACGGCACCTATATCAAACATTTCCAGAGAGTTCTCTTGGGCAGTGCTACCCTCGGTAAACCAATATCTGACAATGCCTTTGACAAGGGCCCAAACAAAAAATACACCCACTGCCTTTGAGCCAATGTCAATTCACGATGACCTTCTAGCACAGGGCAGACCTGCCCTTGTATCTGAGACTGTGACTCTACAGGAGTAGAAAGCACTGTCTCCCTGAGAGAGGCTGGTGGTTTCAATCTGCTGACCTTTTGGATCACAGCCGAACATGTAATCACTATACCACCAGGTTCCCAGCTAGTTGAGATCAAAGTGTCAGTATTTCCTTTACAGTTTGTACATACTCACACCTCTAAAGCTGCTCTTAAAGAAAGAATGTCAATCTCATCAGTGGACAAAAACCCAAGCTTCTGATTCTAAAACAACCACTTAAAATAAATTCTAATTTAGTGAAGCTCACTTTAGAGGGAAAAAAAGAAAAAGAAAGTCTATAGTGCTTAAAAGCACCACAGAGTGAAGTCTGCGTATCCTATCTTTACAGCTAACTCCCATCCAGAAGCTTCTCTGGGGAAAAAAAAAACAAAACACTATGTGTGGGGCTTGCTTATTATTGACATGGCAGGAAAGCAAAGAATGCTTGAAAAAAAGAAGTCTTTAGAAACACAGCTTGGTCTTTCTAAAATACATATATATATATACGATACTAGGTTAAGGAGCCCTGGGTGTAGTGGTTATGTGTTGGGCTGAGATCCGCATGGTCGGCCGTTTGAAACCCCCAGAAGCTCTGCAGGAGAAAGACTGGGCTTTCTACTCCGGCAACGTTACAGTCTTGGAAGCCCACAGGGGTCGCCAAGAGGAGTCAGCATTGACTCGATGGCTGTGAGTGAGGGGTACTAGGTTAAGGAGCACGGTGGTAAGTGTGGGGCTGCCAACTGCAAGGCTGACTGTTCAAACTGCTCCCATAAAGATTTACAGTCCTGCAAACCCTGTAGCTAGCAGGGGGTTGGGTAGGGAAGGACCTTTATTCTGCCCAGGGAAATTTGGATGTTATAATATCATTCTTGGGCCACACAAAGTTATCAGCTCAACAACTAGCTTGCTATATTTGGTCAAAAATTTAAGTCCTACCTAATGTGATGGCTGGAGCGAGGCATGTGATGGTGGCTGGGATGAACGAGTTCGCAGCATTATATGGCCGATGTGCCCCACTCCGGCTCTATAGGTTCACCATGAGTCGGAATCTACTCGGTGGCAATGGGTTTGGTTTGGGTTTTGTAGCAGGTTGGTGAGTATCCCTGGTTGCCCAGTGGTGAGAGCTTGGCAGTTAGGACCCACCAGCCACTCTATGGGAGAAAGAGGGGGCCATCTGCTTCGATAAGCTTACAGCTCTGGAAAGCCAAGGGAGACGGTTACTGTACTCTGTCCTAAAGGTAACTGTGAGCTGGAATTAACTCAACGTCGTCGATGTTTTTGCTGGTGGTGCTTACAGTACCAGATAAGCATTGAAACGGGACGGCTGAAGGCATCTTCGTGCTGTTCACATTTGGTGGTAAGCACAGGTTAGATAAACCTAGGGGTTAGTTTATTATTGGCTCGGTAACACCATTCACTGCGTATGCCCTAGTGAGATATGCTGACACGTAAGAACGCAGGAGGTCCACTGCAAGGAAGGCAGTGTGCCTAGGACACACCTGATTTATTCAGAGGCTGGACTCTGACATTGACTTCTTCTCAAAGCAAAACAGGACAGACCTTCAGATAGGCTAGTTTGCACCAGGAGTTCTGACTCGCTTCTCTATTTGCATTCTTGTGTGTGTGTGTGTGTGTGTGTGTGTGTGCGCGCGCGCGCGCGCTGCTAGGAGCCCTGGGGTTGTAGAGGTTACTCGTTGGGCTGCGGCAGTTCAAAAACCCAAGCAGCTCTGAGGGAGAAAGACAGGACTTTCTACTCCAGTAAACAATTAGTCTTGGAAGGCCCCAGGAGGTCACTGAGTTACCATTGACTGGAAGGCAGTGAGGTGTTGAGATTGTATGCTGCTACCATGGGTAAGCCAAGCCCTTTGTTTATTTTTTATCCTTTGCCTCATTTCTTGGCAGATACATTATTAAGTCTGGCCTACAACATCAATTAGTTGTCTCTGTGCCTTTGGTTTGTTTGTTGATAGTAGATTGGATAGCATTAATGCTAACTCCAAACAAAACAAAACAAGCAATGAAACTGTACTGAACTTGTTAGGTTGACATTAAAACAAACCAATAAACCAGCAAGCCAAATCTACTGCCATTGACTCATCGTGCCCCCATAGGGCAGACTAGAGCTCCTCCCTAGGGGTCCTAAGGCTATAAATCTTGACAGAAATCTAACTGCCATTCAGTTGATTTCAACTCATAGTGGCCCTGTAGGTAGTTTTATCTTTCTCATGTAGAATGGCTGGTGGTTTTGAACTCTTGACGTTACAGTTAGCAGTCCAACATGTAACCCACTGTGCCACCAGGGTTCCTTCAGTTTGTTCCTCAAAAAACTCTCAAACGCATTTCATGAGTTGCTTCCAACTCAGAGCAGCCCAACAGGGCAGGGTAGAATTGCCTTTTGTGGGGTTCTGAAGTGAACACTTTTCATGGGAGTTGAAAGCCTCATTTTTCTCTCTTGGAGCAGCCAGTGGTTTCGAACTGTGGGCCTTGGGGTGGATAGCCCAAACTTGAACTCACAATGCTACCTGGGATTTTTCAGATATTAAAAGAATGCCCAAACCAAAACCACTGCCATTGAGTTGATTCTGACTCATACTGACCCTGTAGGATAGGGTAGAACTGCCCCTGTGTTTCCGAAACACAGTAATTCTTTATGGGAGTAGAAAGCCTTGTCTTCCTCCTGTGGAGGATCTGGTGGTTTCAAACCGCTCGCATTGTGGTTAGCAGCTCAACGCATAGCCAGTTTGATCTGAATTGGTGTAAAGAGCTGTGGGGACTTACATCCAGGCAGGGGGCCTCGGGTGGTTCTAATTTCTGTGCTCACTTGCCAGGAAGCAGACTGGGAGTTAGCATTTGCTCTAAAGGGACCAGGGACATCATTAGTCTTAGAATTCTGTCACCTCCGGAGTAGAGGGACCTTTTCCCAGGGGCCCACGTAACTGCAGGCTTACACATCGCATCTTCTCCACCACCGTGGGCGTGCTCGTGTCCAGAGTGTGCACTCCAGGGCACATGATTCTCAGGAGATCCGAAGGGTTTCGGTGGGCTAATTTTCAGAAGCAGCTCACCAGGCTGCTCCTTCCTAATCTGTCTTAGCCTAGCTGCTCTCCTGAAACCCCTCCCCCAGGGTGGCCCTGCTGGTATTTAAAAACAACAGTGGCACAGCCTTTGGCATCACAGCAATACACAGCTCACCACAATGCGACAGCCGGACAGAGGGGAGGTGGGGCAGCTCAGATCTCGCCCGGATGTTTCCTCTGAAACCCAGAAGCAGATCAGTTGCATGCTTCTGCGCTGTGTGCTTGCATTTCTTGGCACCGTATTACTTACCACAGCAACAAAGACATAATGGTTATAGTGGCAATGTTCCGAGTCCTGAACAGGTCCAGAATGAATGCTTTCTGCTGTTTCAGAGGTTTTAGCTCCTGTAGCTAAGATAATGGAAACAGCCATAAGATTAAGAGGTAGTCAATGGGGAAATGTACGTATGCAACCCTTTCTTTGCCTTGAATAAGCTTGAAAGTATGGAATTTGAGGGAATAAAAACATCTTCCATTGACTTTGGTGGCATTCTCAGGTAAACATTGCACTGTTAATCACAGGGTGGGTCGTTCAAACCCACCAGTCTCACTAGGGGAGAAAGTTGAGGCTATCTGTTCTTGTGAAGATTTACAGCTTCTAACACTTTACAAAGGATCACCGTGTGTTGGGATCAAGTCTACAGCAGTGGGTTCCAGTACCCCCAAACTTTCCGTCAGCAGCCGAATGCTTAACCATTGTGCCGAGGGAGAGAAGATCTGGCAATATGCTCCTCATCAAAGCCACCTTCAAGGCCCGGTGTACTCTGTTATCTAAGGTCATTGTGCCTTGGATTCCCGTCCCCACAGCAATGTCTATCTATGCAATACTTACTTTAATACTGTAAAGTACGTTCACTGTTTTAGGCAGAAGTCTTTGAAATATACATCACTAGCTGCATGGCCTCCTTGCAGAAAGCCAGACTGTCACACATAGCCATTTCCTGACTCATGATTATCACTCTGGATGGCTTTTAACAGTCTAGCTATTTAGGGACCAGTAGGGACTGTTACACTTAATAAAAGAGGAGCCCTCGTGGTAAAATTCACTGTGTGTTGAGGTGCTCATTGCAAGGTGAGCTTGCAATACCACCAGCTGCTCTGTGGACAAAAGATCAAGCTTTCTACTCTCATAAAGATTTAGTCTTGGAACTCCAAAGAAGCAGTTCTACCCTGTCCTATAGGGTCATGAAGAGTCGGCATCGACCGGCTGGCAGGGAGTTTGAGTGTAATAAGACCATAGAGCCCCCCAGGCTGCCTTCAGGCCTGGTATGCTTTTATTGATTTATTTTTTCTTGTTGTCATGTCTTAGTATCAGAACAGACTTGGGTTAACTGAGAGACCTTGGGCAAGTCATTGTTTATCCTCTTTGAGCCTAGGTTCACTCCTTCCGTAAATGGGTGCATTCAGTGGGCGCTGAGAAAATACACTGAGATTGCGATAACAATTAGCGCCGCACTCGGACGGTCGTAAACACACAGACACATTGACTCACGTTACCCGGTGACTGAGGAAAAGATGCCAGCCTTCAGCGGCTAGGGGCCATTTCTGACTGCTGTCCCATGGGCATCTCGACTTGTCATTTGCCAAGAGTCAGGGCTCTAGCTAACCCAGCTTCATGAGCATGGGAAGGGAAATACACTCACAAGGCTCCTGGGCAGCGGGGAAGCCACTGGGGGAGAAAGTACAAGGTTTGGTAACCCGGGGGCACTTCTGCGTTAAGAGCTTGAGGACAGAGACGGCTTTGCTAGGCTAGAAGGGAGGGCATCACAGCAGCGGCTGCTTCCCTCCCAGAATCATGAGAGACCTCCGTACGCATCTCACAGCCAGCCTGGCCGTCCCCTTGCACAGGACGTGCGGGGCTGCTGCTGTGGGGTCAACTCTAACCCGATCTGGGCCCTACGGGTCTGAGGAGAACCGCCCCCATAGAGTGTGCCGATGGTTTTCTTTACCGGGCAAAGCCCCAGGTCTTTCCTCCCTGCAGAACAGCTGGAGGATCCGAACCACTGACCTCAGTTTGCAGCTGAGCAGTTAACCATTTTGTCACCAGGGCTCTGGAAGTATAATGGTGCTATTACAACAAAGCAAGGCCACAGCACAAACAAGAGGAACTCAAGTCCTTCTGGAGGGTTCCGAGAGCAGTGAGCACACACAGGCAGGCTCTGCTGCTCCAGCTTCAGCTTCGGCCTTAGAGCCCAGGTTCGAATTCAGACGTCAGGTGGCCCCACCTGGGACTTCTGACGCAGAACCGTTCCTGGGGCTCAGAAGCCTGAAACCTGTGTTTTTAAAGTTCCCTGGATCGCTGTGAAAGGTGCTATTCTTGCATAAGTGGCCGTCACTGGCTTGTGAGGAGCCACCAGCACACCACTGGACCGAGGCACTATGCAGACTGAAGATGCTTCCGGGGCAAAGCGAGAGAAGCGCCGAGGGCTTTCCAAGGGGATATTACTCTGAGGGAACGCCACTGTTCCCGACATGGGGCATGGCAGGCGAAAGGGCACAGGGCACAGGGCTTCACAAAAGGGCAGATACTGCAGAGTCCCACAAATATGGTGCAGGCAGCGGTATAGAGCTCATTCGTGGTTAAGGGGTTGGGGGGTTGGGGGAAGGAGGCAGGGTGGGGTTGTCACCCCAGGGCACCAAGTTCCCATAACTGGTGGTGGGATCGCTTGTTAAAGGAGGGTGGTCGTGGCTGCACACCAGGCTGAATGTAATCCATCCCACTGGGTTGTGTTGTGGAAAATTGGCAGAATTGGCAAATGATTTGTCATACAAATTTTTGCCACCATTTCCCCCCCAAAAGCGGAATCCATCACCGTCATTAGGAACAGGTACTGTACTTCAGAACAGAGAGACCCAGGTTCCAAAGCCCAGCTTCTGAGCTAGGTGATCCTGGCAGCTACGTCTCGGTGCCTCCCCTTTCTCTCCCAGAACACGCGGGGCTGATGGCAGTGCAGCGCACCAGCTGGGCAGCAAGCAGTCACGTGCTGGCAGAAGCCTGGTGGCTCCTGTTGTCGTTTGTTTGAGTAAGAATTGGGTGGAGGTTTACGGAGCATCTCACTTTCCCATTTAACAATTCAGATACATTTTTCATTTTATTGCCTAGATAGAAATCCTCACAATGCATGATCCTATATCCCACTTCCTCCCTGTGTTTCCTGTTTCCCATCCTGTGGGAACTTTGTCCTTAGGTCAATGCTGCCCTTTGGATCCCACACGATCGATTGTTTTAAGGTCCAAGTACCTCCCTAGTGTTATTCGTCTTCTAGACCTGTCTATTGTTCGACTGACAATTGAGTCGTGGGGGGTTGTTGATTTCAGACATGAAGGGCAACTAAGGACCAGAGTCTCAGGGGTTCAACCAGTACCTATCTGACCGGTTAAGTCTAATCTTTATTTTTTTTAATGATATTAAGCTTTATTCTATACCTTTTCTCCTATTCTATCCAGGACCTTCTAATGTGATCCCTTCGAGAGCAGCTGGGTGTGGATGCTGGGCACTATCTAGTTCTTCTGGTCTCAGGGTAACAGAGGGCTGACGTTCATGTGATCCGTTAGTCCAATGGCCTGTTTCCAAGAAGCATGTGTTTTGACACTGGACTATGCTTGTATTCATTAACCATCTCATATTTTATGATTGTTTTTATCCACGTCGGTTTGGACTCTATGACTAGACTGTAAAGTTTATCAAGATGGGCATCAGAACACGGCTCCAATAAGAACCCAACATAGCACTCCAAGGTACATGTGTCGGGCACTCCCAATGTTCTATTCACAGCCACTTAAGTGAAGGCGGGGATCAGAACTCTTGACTTGAACCGCAAAGGCTGAAGGAATGTCTTGGCCTGGCCACCCTCGGAGAGCTTGGGTTCCATGGCCAGTGTAACTAAGCCTACAGCCAGAAGAAAGCAGCTACTGTTTCTGGGAAAGGTGTGGAAGGCTAAGGATGGAGGAAGCCCACAGGGGCAGAGAGCTAGCATGCTGGCCACTCTCCACAGAGTCCTGCTTTCAAGGTACCCAGGGGTGCAGACTGGAGCACAGGGAAAGCATATCCCCTATAGCCACACTTGTCCATCTGGGGGGTGGTGAGCGGTCTATTTACTGTTCTACCTCACCCTCGCCATTCACCTAGGTCAGGGGTGCTCAACACGTCGATCGCGATCTACTAGTTGATCACAAATGTAGTGTAGGTAGATCGCATGGCATTAAAAAAATAGACAGAAGCCTATCACCAATCCCGTCACTTAATTGATATTCAGCGCAGCCAATCAGACACAATCTTAGGTGTCAAACGCATGCACAAACAACTGCGCTAAGTGCAGCAAAACTGACGAGCTAAGTTACTGCCAATTTTTAGACCTTTCTTTTTTCTCTTAAACATAAGAAAGGGTATTGATACAGTTAAAGTTTATTGTGCCAACCTAGCCGATAAACGCATGTGGGGTTAATTGAAGGGCGGAGAGATAAATGGCTCCGTGAACCTTGCCTTTCGAGTTCTTGGGTCTCTTGCTTTGTGGTGGTTGGACCAGGGTGCAGCTGCCTTAGCCAGTTCCTGCTTCAGCTGGCAAGGCTCACTTCCTGCAAGACATCCCTGAGGAGAAGCCACATGGACCCACCCCGATGCAGCCCTGGGTGCTGGAGCAGCAGTGTGGACCCTTGCCAGCGCTGAGATGCTTACACACTCACTGATTCAGCTTTCCTCTTGCAGTCGGCATCATTGTGTGTGTTTTGTGAGATGGAGGAGGACTTTGTGGATTGGTGTCAGACATATGGGTTAATGTTGGACTTAACCTTTATATAAAACTCTCTTATATATGAGTTTCTCTGGATTTGTTTCTCTAAAGTATGCAGACTAACACAGGTATTAAAATGAGTGGGGGAGCTGGACAAGTAAGAAGACAAAAACATATCACTTTCATACGGAATGGGAGATTTTGACACTACAAGCCTACATTTAGCTGAAATCCAGAGTGCATGAACAGTTCGGGAACTTACTCGCAGAGGGAAAGTACCCAAACATGAGAAAATGTGCTACCTCCTTGACCACATTATTCGGCTCTACTTATTGATGTGAGTCAGCCTTTTCCCACACAAAGATCATTAAGTCCAACTACCGTTCCACCATGACTGATGATCATTTGGAAGTGTGCTTGAGGCTGGATGTCAGCAGCTACTGTCCGGACTATGCAACCCTGGCTCATTCCATTCAGTGCAAGTCATCAGAGTAAACTCAGGTAGTGACAAAAATGTACATAGTTCATTGTGTTGTGTTGTGCAGTATGGACTCATGCGATTATGCAAGGTACATAAACATACATTGTACATATAAAAAATTATCAATGCATTTATGAGTAAATGTAATAAATAAAATAAATATATGTCTTGCATTTTTGTAGTTGGTAGATCATTTTGACTTGATCATTTTATAAGTAGCTCCCATGCTGAAAAAGTGTGAGTTCCCCTGAGCTAGGTGAAGTTGGTTGTCCTCCCTGGTTTGAATTTGTCCAGGCATGACCTGGGCACCTTGTTCTCTCCTTCTCTGGGCCACTGGGCACTGTCCACTGAATACTAGGCACGCACTCCCTGATGCCGTCATTTCTCCTTTCATCTAATGCTCCTGCCTCTCAGTTACATTCTACACTGCTGGAGGGCAAGCGCTCAGTCGCCTGGCACACTGCATGGCCTTGTGGCTGTCAGCAGGTAAGGCTGTCCCCCTGCCCCTGGAATACCTGTCTGCAGGATGACTCCTCAGGCTGTTAGCCCTTAAAGATCTACAAAGGGCACATAGCAAGACTCAACACACACACCTAGCTAGCTTCCTCAGTAGGCTCTGGTAAGAGTCAGAGTTTAACGAGGAGCCTGTGTGTGCAATAGCCCTCAAACATATCCTACGCCCCACACCCCCACTTAATCTGGACACTTAGAAAACCACCGGTCTGTAGCTACATCAAGGGCATGGAACAGTGTCAATACGAAATTGAAGGTAAATATGCAAAATTAAGGGAACCAATCCTTCATGAGCATTTGCTATATGCTAAAGAAGCCCTAGTGGCATGGCCAGGTAAGTATTGAACTGCTAGTCACAAGGACCTCGGTTCAAGCCCACCAGCCACTCTGGGATAAAGACGAGGCTGTCTGCTCCTATCAAAATTTACAACCTCAGAAACCCCACATAAGCTGGCCAGGAGTCCAAATCAGCTCCATGGCTGTAGGTTTGGATGTTACTATGATTCCAAGCGATGCAGTTGCCAAGCATTACTGGATTCAATTTGTGCACTGCCCTTTCTGGGGCCTTTTGCCTTAGAACTTAGTCATCAGTGTGTCCCTAAGACCTAGTGCAGTGCCTGGCACAGAGCAGAGCACCCAGAAATACTGACTTAAGTGAAATTTCCTAAAGCACTGGAATGCACAGCCGATTTAATGAGGAAATATGAGCAAATGCGTACCTCCGTGGAGTCAAATATCACCATGGGGGGCGTGATGTTGTTCATGGTTGCCGCTTTCCTTATGATCTCTTCAGCCTCCTTAAATCTTCTCTGGGATATCAGCCACCGGGGAGATTCAGGAATAAACCTAGAAGAGATGTCCAATGGTCGGTCACTTTTCACAAGAGCTAGGGGTGATGCGATTAATAGTAAGTTGCTCCCCTGCCCCCCTGCCCCACTACCAGATAATTTTAATGTTGCAAAATTCTAGTGTGTAAGTCTTTGATTTGTTTTTTAAGAAAACCTCAGGGGGAGAGGTGTCCTCATAAATAAGCAAAGGCTTTCAAAGTCCTGGCCAAGTCTCCAGCCTGATCCTCCATGGCACTTGAGGCCAAGCCACAAGGGGACACAGGAGCTGTGGGTGTTTAAACCCGGACAGCTAGGAAAAGGCCATTTGGGACTATGGGCCACGTGGCTCATCCGAGAGTAATGCAGCCTGCTGGACAGTAAGTCCCCCCAGAGAAGGAGCTGCGTTTCAGGAGGCCTGGTTTGGGGGAATTCCTGATCCCCACGCTGGTGATGTTTGCCAGGGTGTCGGGTGCAGGCTGCTCAGGGCGGCTGTGCCCCTCTAGTGGTTGCTATAGGCAGCCAAGGAGAGCCCCCATTTCCTCCTGGGAGCCTCCCCACAGCTTTCAGTGGACTCCCAGGTCAGTGAGCACCCAAGCCTTCTTTGAAAAACAAGCCGAAGTTGTCTTTTTCTTGTTTTTGCTTTGTCTTCATGTCTAGAAACGTAATATTTTTTGTGGTCACGCCCACCAGCTGCACATTTGGCTGGTTTTCATTTCTCAGAATCTTAGCCACTCTTCTGGCAGCTTTGTTTTCCCTCACCTGTTCCAAGGTGCTTAGTTACTCTAGACAATGAATCACCTGGAGTGGTCCCAGAGGACTTCTGCAATGAACAGGCCCACCCAAGGCCTCACTCGGAATGACCTCAGAGACAAACACAAAAGTCTCACATCATCAGCCCAGAGCTCCCTGTCCCCAGGTGACTAGCACCTGGGTTGAAAATTGAGCCCCTGGTCCCATCTGTCCGGTCCCTGTCGGACCTGTGATGATGCTGGGGCCACCCGCCTTCAGGAATCAGCGCTGCTCTGCCCTCGTCTGCAGCACCCTGTATCTGTGCTGCCCAACATAATAGCCATGAGCCACTCATGTTGCCTGAGCACTTGCTTAGTGGCTCTGACTGAGGAAATGGATCTTCAAATGCATTGAATGCTAGTTAATTTGAAAGAGAAGTGGGTAGCCAGTGGCAGCTATAGCTAGTACAGGATTAGAGGCCTTACTGCAAAGCTACTGCATCCTTCCCGGACAATTCTCCTTCTGAGCCAGAGTGTCCCCCAGCCAGGTTACGCTCAGAGGTAGTCTGCCACCTTCTCTACAGGCTCTGCAGCCCATCGTCGGCCCGAGACCCTATGTAACAGGTGTGTGGAGTCACCTGGAAGACGCAGCACTTCCTTCTCCATCCCTACACGTGTACTCCATCCACACCTGAGGCCACTCACTGCCAAGCCTTTTAAAAGGAGATCAGAGCGTGCAAAACCCAAGCCCAAACCGAACAATACCTTAGTCTCCTATGGAGACGCCGGGGAGTTTTCCCTCCGGAGGGAGCACTGCCGGAATTGCTGCCTTTGCATCATTATGATTTTGAGGAGCACAAGTCTCAAGTCTAGCTGGTCAGTTCAGAAGGCAATGAGATCGCACACACTATAGCCTCTCTGCAGGTCTAATTCAAATTAAATGGGTGTGGAGGGGGTTCGCTGGAAAGTTCCTGATCAAGCAGCCGAGAGGACAGCAACATCCCTTCGCCATCCTGGCCCACCTGGGCTGCATGGACATCACTTTGGGAAGTCTCACCCTCAAAGGCAAGATGCTTAGAAGAATGCAGGTTTGCTTGTAGAAGAGACCTGAAGCCTGCCCCGGTTAAACTTGCAGGACAAGCACTGTGCTTGCAAGTGCTGGCCCTCGGCTGCCCTCTGCTGGGGAAGTCCCTTGGGGGGGTGGGGGGGTGGAGGGTGGTGGGCCGAGGGCGGGTGGCAAGAAGAAAAGAACTCTCCTTCGGGTCAGATTGAGGCAGTGCCTGGTGGGCCGGGTCTTTTCTGCTGGAAATTCAGAAGCTGGCCTCTCAGAATTATTTCTTGCTGTGATATTTGGCCTTAAGGCAAACATCCAAGCCCTACCAATCAAGATTCCTGCCAATCTCTGAACAGCCAGTCAGTGTGTGGCAATATTCGCTCTATCATAACGTAAGGGGCCCAGCGGGTGTAGTGTGCTGGTTGAGTTGAGCTGCTAACTACAAGGTCAGCAGTCTGAATCCACCAGTGGCCCCATGGGAGGAAGATGAGGCTGTAAAGATGCCCGGCTTCAGGATCCCTAGGCAGCAGTTCTACTCTGTCCTATAAGGTCGCTGTGACTCAGAATCAAATGGATGGAAGTGAGGTTTTTTTTTGTTTATTTGGTTTCGAATTGGAATATGGCTGGGTTAGCACATTAAAATATAGTGATCTCTTGGGCTAGTTAAAAAACCAACATATATCTGAACCCTGTGGTATAGTGAGTTATGCTTTGGGCTGCCAACTGGCCCAAGCTCCTCGGGAGAAAGATGAGCCGTCTACTCCTGTTAAGAGTTCCAGCCTCGGGAATGCACAGAGGCAGTTCTAATATGTCCGATAGGGTCTCTGGGAGGCGGAAGGAATGACAATGAGTTAGGGAAGATAGATGATTAAAGTCACCCATCAAAAGAGGCAGAAGTTAACCTTTGAATAATTTTGTCTGATGTCTTGGGAGACCCTCTGGCCGCCATCTTTTCCACTACCAAGCAGTCAGGGGCTTGTGGAGGGAGGGGTGGTGACTGTGATCCCTATCAGAAATCTAGGGTGTTTCTCTGGAGGCAGAGCTGGGCAGATAAGGGTCTGACAGGCCCAGGAGGAATTAGCACAAGCTTTCCTCTGACTGGGTTCCGGAAGATACCTCCAAATTGGAAAAATGTCTAACCTTTAATACACTCCGCTTTGATTTCCAGGGAGATAAGAAAAAGAAAGGTGTGTTCCCTACTCCACTCCTGCCAGGAATTCACACAGGGAACCCCACAGCAGCTTTAGGGTCGTTGAGGTCATACAAAGGCAACAGCATGGGCTGGGCCAACCTGCGCCAGCTGGTCAAACCAAGGCCACCCGTCAAATACCAGGGCTACGTCAGAGCTGCCAGGCAATTTCCAGGCAGGGTGTAAACTCAAAGGACAGGGCAACCATGAGCTCTGGTCCAAACTGTGTTCTACAAAAGTGGCTGAAGGACCTTGCATGGTAGATAAGCAGGGGGAGGTCGAGCAGCTCCATGAGGCTGAATTGCTGGAAGAGGTGCTTCTGACACCAGCAAGCCAAGCCAAAAATAAAAATAATGAACCAGGCTTACCAGTGGAGAGATTCCCCCTTTCTCTTGCCTACATTTAAAAAAAAAGAAGAAGAAAGAAAAGAAAGGGAGATCGTCCCCAAAAAGGGGCTATGGCTAGGACGTCATTGCTGTTTCTCTTACCTGCATCTCCCAGATAAAGGAACCAATACCTCCAGGCTCTCATGCTAGGCCCATAACTTGACACACCAAAACGAGTCGGGGCTGCGGGTGGAGAGACAGCGCATTCCCCTAACAACTCAATGCACAAAAGCCTTTCTCTGGCTCTTCACGGCACACCTAACGTGACTGGGGAGCGTGAGGAAATCACATTAGTTGGGATCATAAGGAGGGTAAGATGCCCTGGAGAGGGAAAGACGTGTTGAAAGAGCAGAGGGTGACGTTGAAAACAACGCCCGCCAACAATAGCATCTCCTCGCACCACCACCACACCAGCTTCCTTCAGAAAGAGGAAGCGGGGAGTCTAGGGGGGAATTGGGTGTCGCGAGAACAGTGCTTTGTAGGGCCATGGAGAGTCAAATCCCAGTGCACAGGCCCTCCCGGAACCAGGCAAAAGCTCTCTGGGCTCCAAGGACCCTGGCCGCAGCAAGTCCCGGTGGAGATGGGAAGCCCACGCTGGGGTCAGCCCGGGGCTCTGGGCTCCAGGTGAGCTGGCCTGCAGCGAGGGCCTGTGTGGGATCATTCGCACTCACCACCACAGCGGGACGCACAGCACCCCCGGCACCGTCAGCGCCAGCAGCAGCATCCGCCAGTCTCGGATGAAGTAAGCAAACAGTGGCAGCAGCATGTAGCCAACTGCAAAGAATGTGCACACTCCTAACGTGGAGAATATAATACGAACTGACTTGCCAAGAATTTCTGTTCCTGTTCAAAACAAGGGAGGAGTATTAGCACGTTTCACTCACTTCATCATTGCGTTTCACATTATTACCTCAAACTGTACCCACTTTGGAAATTGGAAAAGACATCGATTGGCCTCAGGACTCTGAGCACAAGGGGCGCGCGGCCAGGGGACACAGGGGGAGGAAGGTAGCAAGTGATTCGAGGCTCAGCACCTTAGAAAAGGGAGGGTTCTGGGGTGAGATTTTAGAGGAGTCCCGGGTTTATTTCTGAGAGGGCAGCCCATGCCTTAGAAAGGGATCTCTTCTGAGAAGGCCGGAGTTCCAGGATCTGCTGTCCAGCCTGAGGTGCAGAGAGGCAGTGGCTGTTGTGAATGGGGCAACGTCACGGTGCATTTTAGCTTTCCCCACAATCCTCAGCTGTAAATAAACAGCCGTCGGTCCACTGGGAAACAGTGGAGAGTTCGGTTTCTGAGACCTTGTAATGACGACACCCTTCCTCTCCCTTGAGCCCGGGAGAATTATATAGAGGAACCAGGTGGGCACCAAGCAGGCTCCCAGCAACCACTACTGAAAGTGTCTGCAGACCCGTGGTGCTTTGAGACCGGCCCTCGGGCCATCACTGTCCAGGCGGGCCAGCAGAGGGCAGCGGTGGACCTGGCCAGGAGCTGCAGGCACCCAGGAACCAGAACACCTCAAAGCTGCTCATTTGTGCTGGGGGAAGAAACCATAGCCACTGGGCTCCCCTGCCGCACGGGGCACCCCCGCTGGTCCAGACAGGCTGGAGCTTATGACTTGAGATGGGAGAGGCCAGGAACGAGCTCCTGAGCACTTTCCCGCAGGCTCCACTCTTGGTCCTCCACCCAGGGACAGAGCTACAGCGGTGGCGAAGTGGTGCCTTTTGTTTGGGACCTGGAGAAGCAGCAGCCCAGAAAACAGGACGCGGATCACTGCAAGGTCGTCCGTGCCTGGCTTTCCGGAGGGATTGTGGTCTGTCTTGATGATGTGATCTGAGCAGGCTGGTGGCCTGGACACAGGCCCAGAGTCTAAGGGTTGATTCCAGAGACGAATCAAAGGACTATTTCAGCTGGCTTCACATCCACCGCCTTGCCTATCCCCATCCCTGTCCCTCTGCTCCATCACTCATCCTGAGCTCCCGGTCCCTGATTCTCTCTTGGGAGCCCATTCTGGAAGCCAGACTGGCAGACATGGCCATCCTTGTGTGCCTCCTGGCACCCCCTGCTATCACAGGCATGTCTGGCTACGGCAGATGTGCAGGTGCCCAGAGCACCACCCAAGGAGCAGTTCCGGCTTGGCAGGCTGTGGCCATCACCAGCTTCATGACAGAGGACTCAGCAGTTCAGAACTCTCAAAGCACTACCTCCTGCAGGCAGGCCTATGTGTATTCAGTACGATAACCCTACCCGCCCAGACCGTGGGCTCATGTCTAAGAACAGGGGCTGAATTCCTTAACAAGATCGTGAGTGTGGTCCTGGAACGGACCAGTGGTTAAACATTGGACTGCTAACCAAAAGGGCGGGCGGCTGGAACCCACGCACTATCCCACATCCCCCCACCCCACCAATGAAGATGACAGTTTTGGAAGCCCTATGGGACAGTTCTACTTGTCCTATAGATTCACTAGGAGTCAGCACAGAGGGTAACAGGTTTGAGGGCTCTTTTCCTTGGTTGCTGTTCTGACCCCACTCATGAGCTCCCTACTATTCTAGACCACGCGCTCCATCCCCAGGCCCTGGCTTCTGAGCCCTTTGGCTGTGACTATCACGGCACAGGAATGGATAGGGGAGCCTCGGAGTGAAGCAACAGAGAACGTGTGAGCACTGGGCCAAGGGAGGTCCCTGTGCCTCCTGGGTAAGAGGAGACAGAAGTCACGCCCTTGGGCTCCCAGGACCTGCTCCCTCTCAAGCCTGTGCCTCACACCAGAACAAAGGGGTTCTAACTTTGGTGAGGACGGAGGGCCTGTGGGGCTGCCTTCCTCTCTGCCTTCCTGGGGAATTGCTTGGGTGGCATGAACCTAAAGAGTTCCTTGTTAGCATTGCTTCCTGCACTCTGGCTTTTAGACCACCATCTTTCCTTAAACACCGTCACCATCTTCGCAGCTAGCATATTTTGAGATAGCTCTTTCAGCCAGGCTCAAAGGGCCATTTTCATACATGATTTCTCTGAACTCACCAGAACAATTATATAAGGAATTCTATCATTCCTACTTTACACACAACAGTTAAAATCTTTTTAAAATGTTAAAGTAAATGGTCTAAGACCAGATAATAAGCCAGGGGATCTGGTGGCATAATGGATTACTCATTGGGTTGCTGATCACAAGGGCAGCAGTTCGAAACCACCAGCTGCTCTGTGGGGGAAAGATGAGGCTTCCTATTTCCGTAAAGAGCTACCATCTCAGAAATTCACAGGGGGCTATTCTGGATTGAATCCTGGTGTAGTCAGGATTCAAGCTCGCTGTTTGTCCTATAGATACCTGGTACCTTCCATGGGGAAAAACCTCCCCCAAAGCCTTGGCCCTACAGCAGTCCTTGGACTGAGATTCTAACGGCAACATCATGTACAGGAAATAGGCAAGGCCTATCCTCCTCTAGAAGTGAGGTTTGGGTTTTTTTCTCTTCCTGGGCGGGCCCTTGAACCAACTAGTGGCCAACCAGGCTGCTCTGAGGAAAAGTATGAGTTCTGATTCTTCGGCCCAAAGCATACCTTTCGTGCCCGCGTACACATCTGGCACCAAGACGAGGATAGCAGTGACTCCTGACTCCTTGGCTCCAGTTGGTCCCAGGCTGGTGAGACCTCCGAGTGTCCTCTTGGAGTGTCACTCTGAGCCGGGAACATGTCCCGGCTGGCTCAGTCTACATCAGCTCTGGAACGGTTTGCTCCCCACCTGCCACCCCAATGTTCATCTGGCTAATGTCGCCCAGCGGGCCAGGCTCACTTCCGCGTGAGAACAGGGCTTGTCTTTGGTAGTCAGTGCAAACAGTGCCGAGGCCCTTGGCACCAGGGCATGAGAGCCCTGCAGCAGAGCCAGCTCAAGGAGCCAGCCTGTGGTGCAATGGCCAGGATGTGGCGTGGAACCCGGGGAAGGGGGCAGGGGGGGGGGGGCACTGGCGGGGGTGTCCCAGGGAGCCTGGGCGCCTGGATGCTGACTTGCTGCGAGCATCACTTTGAGGAAGTGCAGTCTTGTGGGGGTTTGGGGGGTTGTTTGTTTTATGATTCAGGTGAAAGTTTACCAAGCAAACCGGTTTTCCATTCAAGAATTCCCACAGGTTGATTTTATTTTGTGACACCGACTGCTGTCACCACACTGTTAGAGCACTCTCCTCACTTGCCCTTTGTCCTCCTTTCCTGTCCCTTTCTGCCTGCTGAGCTTTAGCCCTGAGCAGGTGCTGCCCTTTGACCTGTATGGCTGACTGTTCGAAGGGGGGCAAACTTCCCTGGGGTTACCGTTTAGCTTATAGGCCTATCATTCGGCTGAAAGTCAGTCTCTTCCTGTGCTCAGTGAGTCCTCCTTCCTGGGGTGCCTGGGTGAGCACTGTGGTGACACGCCCCTGAGGCCTAGTGTGTGACCACACAAACAAAGGCTCTGTCAGCGTCACAGTCAAATCGGGCCGCTCACCAAAAGGCTGGCCATCGGAATCCACCCTGGCTCCGTGGAGGGAAGATGAGGCCGCTCTACCCGGTCCTCTATGAGCCGGAGTTCGCTTGACAGCAGCGGGCGTTTGGGAAGGCAAACTATCAAGAAAAATAAGAAGTCATGCCTTTGGGAAGAGTGGGGGGAAATGTAGCTACTTGCTGTGCTAAACAGCCGGGCCATTCGCTAGAAGGTTTGCCAGAGAGTTACCGTGTGACCTAGCGATTCCACTCCTAGGAATGACATCCGTAGGAGATGTCCAAACAAAAACCGGGCCGGGGACACTCACAGCTGGGCCCCAAAGTCCCTGCATCCCTGTAGTAGCCAAAGAGGAGAAACGACCGGATGTTCATCAGCTGAGGAAGAGATGAACCAAGCATACTATACCCCACGACAGACTGCCATCGGCCATGACCACCAGCGAAACACTGACTCAGGAAAGCAAACCCTGCCCGCGCTGTGGCACAGTGATGGTGATGTCCCCGCCCACCGTCCAGGCTGCCTGTCAGCACATCTCCCGGGGGCCTTCCCCTGGGCCCCTCTACTCTACCAAGCACGGTGTCCCTCTCCAGGGACTGGCCTCTCCTGACAGCATGTGACACGTGTGGTTAAAAAAGCTATAATGATGTAAAGAACTAAGAAAGGGTTCATTTTTTTAATGGGAGATGACATCATCAAGACTCTTTCCTGAAAATGACACCTTCTACACAAGTGGGGGGTGGAGGAGGGAAAACAGAGGAGCTGACACCAAGGGCTCAATAGAAAGTGAATGTTTAGAAAAGAACGATGGCAACATATGTATACATATGCTTGGTACAATTGATGTAGGGATTGTTTTTGAGTTTTTTTTGGAAAAAATTCATTATCTATTTTAATTCAAATTTTCCATGAATTTATTTCCATTCTGATTTATTTTAGCTTTTACCTTTCATATTTTAGACTATTATCATTCCTACATAATAATCAAGTCAAAATCTAAAGTCTCCACAATAAAATTTAGCCAAGCAAGATGTTCAACCTTCTACTCAAGCTTTCATTGAATCACAGTCACCCCTTCCCCCTTTAATGCATGTAAAAGTCATGCATGTAAAATTTACATACATTTAATGCATGTAAAAGTCATGCATGTAAAATTTACATACATTTAATGTATGTAAAAGTCATGCATGTAAAATTTACATGCGTTTAATGTGTGTAAAATTTGTGTATGTGAAATTCACTGTATTCTCACTTTCCTCATGAGAAATAAACAAAAAAAAATGTAATTTTCTGAAAACAGCAAAAGGGCATATATTAGGTAAAGTTACTCTTGCTATTGTGATCCAATAATGTTGCATCTGGACTTTAGCTATTTGCTAATATATGGTAGGCTTAAGATTTTTCTTTTCTTTTTTTTTTTTAAACATTTTTTTTAACATTTTATTAGAGGCTCATACAACTGTTATCGCAATCCATACACATGATGTAGGGATTGTTATAAGATCTATAAGAGCCCCAAATAAAATGATCTTTTAATAATATAAATAAAAAATTAATTAATTAAAATGACACCTTGTAAGGAGCAAAGCATGTTCATCATACCATTTAGTGGTGACCCGTTTTACACATTCCATTTTTACGTCATGTTTTATCATCTGTACACTTTCCTATTTGGGGGAAGAAAAAAAAGCTTGCAGACACCTCCCCCCAAGCGTCACTTTATTTTGGTCAAATGGAGCAGAATCCGGCCATTTCCTCCCTGAAACACCAGAGTGCGCTGTTGCCCTGCGGGAACTGAAGTCTGAATTTTGAGACAACCCAACACAGTCTCACACTGGAACACAAACAGCGGCAATTTTCTGCCAAGTAAAACATCAGGGCAGAGGATGGGGAGCCAACGCCACAACTGGCCTGGTCCCTGATCAGGAGCAGCAGCGCTCGGAGGGCCAGCCAGGCTGATCCAGGCATTGACAGCTTTCAAATGGCCTCCTTTTCCACTTGCCCCTTCCCTGCCTTAGCCGGGCATGTGGATCAGCACGTTGCATGGGAACAGGAGGGTGGCAAGAGGCCAGGGCTGGGCAGTCCCTGCGGCCTCCACTCACACAGGAGAGGGTCCATAGCCCCAGAAGCCCCCTATATCACCATAAGGACAGGCAGGTCATACTGGCCACTCAGAAGGTGGGGGTGTGGACCCAGCTGGCATGGACCCCACCTTGCTTCCAGCCCCAATAAACAGGGCTTCTCTGGCTTCAACACCAATCCCAGCCCTTGCATGACAGATGATCCTGCAAGTCCTCCTGTGGAAATGAGTCTGCTGGCCTCCGACAGCCTCCTCGGTATGGGGGAGGCCTTTCAGGTAAGTGCCCTGACCGAGCAAAACCACACACTCTGGGGGTTCACCACAAGAAAAATGGATTCTGGGAGGTTTCGAACTTAAGAAAACAGGCTTTGCTGTGCTCCAAGAGTCTGAGTTCTCAGGGCCATCGGGCATTGGGAGGTTGTAACTCCTGTCCTAAATGCCTCCACTGGCCTGGCATTCTTCATGAACTTCTTGCTCCCTGAGTTAGTTAATTGTGCCAGCCTGGCCGATAATCACATGTGGGGCTAATTGAAAGGCGGAGGGATAAATGGGTGGTGAGCCTCGCCTTTCTAGTTCTCGGGTCTCTTGTTTTGTGATGGTTGCACCGGGTGCAGCTGCCTTAGCAATTCCCTGCTTCAGCTTGCAAGATTGACTTCCTACAAGACATCCCCAAGGAGAAGCTACATGGACCTATCCTGATGCAGCCCTGGGTGCAGGAGCAGCCATGTGGAGACCCCTGCTAGTGCTGAGATGCTTGTTTGTTTACTGACTCAGCTTTCCTCCTGCAGTCGGCATCATTGCCTCTGTTTTGTGAGGTGGAGGACTTTGTGGACTGGTGTTGGGTTAATGGGTTAATGTTGGACTTGTGGGCTTGGGCAGCATTGGGTTGGGATGTTTTCGTGATGCACATTTTCTTTATATAAAACTCGCTCTTATACATGAGTTGTTGTGGATTTGTTTCTCCAAAGTACCCAGACTAATACACTCCCCTCCTCCCTTCAGCTGGGAGGAGAAAGCCTCACCCCACCCCACCCACCCCCTTTGCTGGGCCTGCTGGCACGCGTGCTATCTGCGGGGACCATGTGGCTTCAACATGCTCGTCGTCCTCCTCCCAGGGAGGACGGGGTGGCTGACCCCGTGGCAGGGGGTTGTCCACAAATGATTAAAGGAGTGGAATTTGAACGATTCCATCTTGGCCACCTTACAGAGGGTATACCCATCTCTAACTAAGGAAACATGGACTCTCCAAACTCATCCAGCCTCTTGCAAGGGATCAGCGTCATCAAAATCGAAGCCAGCTTTGGAGGCAAGATTTCTACTCAAGGGGCCCCCCGAATGATCATGATGCTGTGACTGGCACAAATGGGGACAGCACGGAGCCAGCTAGGAAGCCTGTGGATGAATACTTCGGCAGTGAGCTCACCCTCACTGCCTCCCAGGAAAGGCGGATGTGGGTCCTGGGAGCCTTGTAAGCTTCCCCCCCACCCCCATGCAGCCTGATACTCTAAAGTCAAGGCAGCTGCCCAGAGACAAGACCAGTATCGATGCAGTGAGGCTCCTCTTGCAAGCAGCTGACATGCCTGGGAGCGGCCTCCGACTCTGGGTGAGGCCAACTCTGGCCAACAATGGTAAGCAGGCACTGAAACGCTTCTACCAGCAGGAGCCTTATGTCCCCCGCAAGGTTGCAGGAACACCCTTCTGCCCAGTCCCAGCAGGGAGAAGCCTTGAGCCTTCACAGCTCAGATCAAAGACAGCTGAGAGCTGTATCTCTGCCAAGGTCCCCTCCTCTGTGCTCCCCGCAAACCCCAGCCTCCGACAATGTGTCTCAGTGACGGTGTGGTCGGTTCCAACTGGCTTTAGCTCTTTCCACGACATGCCAGGGCCAGCAGATCAACTATCAGGTGCTCTGCATGAAAGAACCCACCCAGACAGCCTCCTTCCCAACACACATGGACGTGCATGGACGTGCGGCTGGTCACATTGGGAAACACAGCGCCCGGGGGAGTTCCATCCCCGGGCTCCCATGGTCCCTGCTCTCTGGCCTTTCAGAGGTTTGGAGAGAGGATCTGGGGTGTCGGAAGCTATGCCTACCTAGTATGAAGGCCACCACGTAGTTGGAGATCTGGCCCATGCCCACGATGACAAACAGCACAGTGAACATCTCCCAGTTGACGGAGAAAATTTGCAGGAAGCTGAAGCCAGTCTGCACGGCCATGGTGCTGAAGAGGATGCTCTTCCTGCCAAACCTGCAGAACACAGCACAACACAAAGCATGGCACACACCCGGGGGGACAGTCACGCTGTTGCTCGGGGCGTGCACTCATTTTCTCAGGGCCACATCCTCCCAGCTTCTGCCCTTCAGAATAAGTCTCAGGTAGTGCCGCCATCACATTTCGGGAATGGGGACCGCCCCCCTGAGCCCCCTACAGCTCGCAGGTGCTGCTGACATCAGCATTGTGGGGATGCTATGCGTCCCGGACCACGAGCCTGCCTGGGGCAGGGACTTTCAACCTAGACTGCACTGGCAGTCGCTTGGAGAGCCCACAGCCAGAGAATCTTCTTTGTCTGGGATGCGATTTGGGGCTTGGGATTTTTTTTAATTTCCTAATGTCAGATCGCTTTAATAATTAACTGTGGTAGTTACATAATTTGGAGCCAATTTGTGGAGGGGTGCTGTCTAGCTGGTCAACCAGGTTGCAGCTTGATGACCTCATTTGGAGGCGCTAAGGAGATAAATAGCTCGCTGGAGGCAGGACACTGGCACACTCCCTGCGAGACATTCCTGTTGACAAGCCACATGGTGACCAGCTGATGGTAGCCAGAGCCTTGGAGCTGGAGGAACCACGTGGAGACCCACACCAGCACTGAGATGCTCCCACCACCACTGGATCCACAAGACTTTTCACCCACCGGCTTGTGATCTTCCTGCATTCTGAGTCATTGCATGTGTTGCGTGAGTCTAAACAGGAATGTATGGGCTAGTATTTGACATATGGGCTAATATCGGACTTATGGACTTGATCTGGACTGGGCTGGGATGTTTTCTCAATATACATTTGCTCTTTGATATAAAACGCTCTTAGACGCAGATGAGTGTCTATGAATTTGTTTCTCTAGTCTACCCAGACTAACACAGCAGCCAACGTGGTGAATCGTGCTTCACGTGAAGACACCGCTTCCAACAACATCCCTTAGTTCTCCTGCAGGTGCTGTCAGTGCCAAGGTAGCATTTTGGCAGTGGCCAATGGGTGGGATGGAGCCCAGAGGTGAGGGGAACAGCTTCCTGCCCGGTTTCCTAAATCCAACCTCCGGCTTCTGGGGTCCAGTTGTATCGGGCTGTGCAGCTGGGGGAAGATTAGCCACTTCCCACGGCTGCCATTTGACACCCCTCTGCCAGGCCTGCCTGTCAGAAGATGTGAGGGGGATCCCTGGGTGTGGCAGCCATTCCCACCTTGTCCTGGCCTGGCCTGGCCACCGCCTAACAGTTGAGGAGTGAGTGGAGGCCCTCCCCTGGGACTGCGAGGCCATCTCTCCCCAGACTCAGTACTCTGCTTCTCAGGACCAACCTGAGTCAGGTCTGTGGCCCCCATGCCTAAGCAGGGGTGTGGCGCCCAGCAAAGAGGTGCATGGTTAGGACTTGCTGCCTGGCCCTGCCTCTGGCTGATGGGCGGTGTGTCGACATAGCACATGTTACCCACCCCACCCTGAAATTCTTGAAGAGATGGGCTGGGGAGATTAAGTGGACCCAGGGCTAAATGGGCAGGTGGATGGGGGTGGGGGCATGGTTATAGTTTCTGAGCAGATTGTTCCAGAGAACCCGGTAGTCCTTGGTTGACTTGTGCGAGTTGGGGTGGCGTGAGCAGCAGCATATGTTTTGAGGGGTTTGGAGATAAAGACTCTGCTATCCAGCATGGGGAGTGGCAGGTGGGACACTACCCACTCCCTGCCCCTAGCCAAAGCCCCTGGTGAACGGGACAAAAATGGATAAGAAGGCCCAGGCAAGATGGGCAGAGGGTGGGTGAACAAGCCATCACCGCTCCTCCCATCACTGAGCCTGTGGCCGGAGGCTCCTCCTTTTTGCCTGTGCAGCAACACCCTGAGTTCAGCCCAACTCTCACATAAGCCGGGAATGGACAAGGGGCTCACGCAAGCCCATCTCCCCTCCCTGGCGGCCCCCTTACCTGTCTGACAGCTGCCCGGACACGAAGGAGCCGAAGAGCACGCCCAGGAAAAACAGGGAGGTGGTGAGGGGCGTCTTCCAGTCGTGCTCGCACACCAGGCTCCACTGCCAAGGAAGACAAGGCGAAGGGTGAGCCCAGCCCTCGAGCCCCAGCCTGGGCCCCAGGGAACGCTGTGGCTGCCAGGCCGGCTCGCTCTCTCTCCTTGTGCCCGATTGTCACCTGGTGCCAGCAGCACAGACCTGAGGTGTGACTTTGGGCTCTGCTGCGCCAAGTGGCCTGAAACAAGCCACAGCCCACCAAGAGTCTCAGCTTCCTCCTTGATAGCGGGAGGGCATTGCCTCCTGGTCTGTTTGCATCTCAGAGCAAGACGCAGTGTCGGGGCATGACTGGTGGGCCCCGTCAAGACTCTCAAAGCAGTGTCAGCTGTTGGCACTTCACAGTCAACCCCGCATGGTGGGAGGGTGTTGGAAAAGCCCCAGAGGCAAACCGGACGGTTTGGCGCCTTGGTCCGAGAGTCAAAGTTCCCAGTACCTTGTGGCAGCGCGGAAGTGGTCCCGAGATCTCTGTGGTTATAGCTTCTCTCCAGAGAATCCTTCGTTCCCTGGTCCACGCACACCATGAATCAAGTCTGGGGCTCCCACCTCCCCCTCCTGCACCTCCCACCCCTCAGGGGCCATGGGAAACTGAAACCCTAGCAAGTCTCGGCTGGTGGACCCAGACAAGGAGGGTTTCAATGGACTTGGGCCAACTCAGCGAAAATCTCCAGGCAGGTTGCAAAGATCTCCCCGGAGTGGGAGTCCCTGTACGTAAGCAGATCTGCTGGTGCCTGTCCACGTTTGCAGCAAGGGTGGCTGCTTCTGTTGCAAGAGAATCTAGTCTAAGACTGAATGCCCTTTGCTTCCTACCAAGCCCAGTGCCATGTGGTAGTGGTGGTGACAGGTCCGTAGCATTTACAAATTGATTCGGTCCCTGATCCTCACGCCCTAAACGTGTTGGTAGATTTAAACTGAATCCCCTATTTACATCACCTCTCGTTCTGCAGCCGAGAGAGGCTTTTATCAAGACGCGGGCGGGAGGAGAGTGTAAAGGCCGAGTGGACCGGGACAAGCAGGAAGTAAAGGGAGGGAAATGGCTAACCAGGGCTAAGACTGGTCCCAGGGCTGCCTGCCGAAGGGCTGGCCTGCCTCCACATTCAGCTCCGAGCATCCTGCCCTGGGCCCTGCAAAGGACCACAAGCCTGGCGGGGGTTGAACTGTGTCTCCCAAATAGATATTGAAGTCCTGGCCCTGGTACTCAGGCTGGGGAAAGGCCAGTGAGAGGGAGGGAGGCCCTGGATGAGAAGGACTGGCAGCGAGGCGGCAACAAAGGGCTCAAACCCAGGCACAGTGGTGCGGCTGGAGCGGGATGGGGCCGTGCTGTGGTACGAAGGGCCGCCCCTAACGCAAGGACAGCGTGCCTGCAGCGCAGCCCTGTTGGAAACAGCGTTCTCTTTGCTCTGCGGGTTTCAGTCTAATCACTTCTGAATTGTTGAAAAACCAACAGGGTGGACACACACACACACAGAAAAAAGGAACGTGTCCCACGGAGGTTGTTGGCAGGCACTGGGAGCTGAAACAGGACCTTCCCCCCAGAGCCACACCCTGAATTGAGACTTTGAGCTTCCTGAAAAATGTGAGAAAACAAATCGCTTGCGGTGTTTGTGTGAAGCAAGGCTACATAACTATGGCTGTGCCCCAACGTGACAAACTTGTCCCACAGACTCCCTCCTTCACAAAAGGGTCACTCTGCGGGGCGGAGGACGGGGCCCTGGACAGCAACCCTGCCCTGGGCACAATAAGCCAGATTCACGATGCTGCGTCTCACGGTGACCACGGGGCTGCCCACAGGCGACACACCCTCACATGCTCTGCACCCTCCTTCCCTCTGAAGTCTGTCCCCAGCGCCCATGGGAAGTTGAAGCCCTAAGTCCCTGCTGGTAGAGCCATACAAGGAGGGTTTCGGCCAGCATTTCAGTTCCCAGCTTTTTGACAGAAGCCAATTCAGAAAAATCGCATGGGAAGTTGGCACAGGAACTCAGCTGCCTCCTTCTCAGGAGTGCTCCCAGGATAAACCCGAGGATACAGACAGAGCCCAGGCGAGGGCTGCCTCCCCCAGAATCACTGGGTGGGTTTCCCAAGTTGTAAGGCCAGGTTTATGCGCAGGTTCTTCTGTTCAGAATATCCCTGAATGGATGGGGACCCACCTCCAAAATGGACTGGCTCACCCTGCAGCAGAGAGTGTGGGATCTGCCTTTGATTCCCGGGGGCGTGGGTGTTAGAGGCCCTGCAGTCTCATGATGAGCTCTCTGGCAAAAGAGCGAACGACGGCTCCAAGCCTGGGATTTGACTCAGGCACAGCAAGTCCACGGGCACTGCCACGGATCCCACCACGTGTCTGAAAGCCGAGCAACGTGCTTTTATTCAGTGTCACCCTCTCCCCGCTTCTTCTCCACTCTTGGACCACCTCACAGGCACTCGAAAGGTGGAAAGCATCTGGGGGGAGTGCGGGAAGATGCCACGGACTTTCAGAGAAACAGACACATCTGTTTTGGGGGAAGTACCCCAGCATGTGCCGTAAGAAGCGAAGATGGCCAGACTTCATCCCACGTGCTTTAGCTACTTCCTGATAACATGAAGGACCAAGAAGATCATGCTTGGTCAACAAGAGGGTCGGCAAGAGGAAGAAGACCTTTAATGGGATGGATTGGCACAGCGGTGGCAACAATGGGCTCAAACATAGCACCGGTGGTGAGGATGGTGGTGAGGATGGCGCAGGGCTGAGCAGTGTTTTAGGTTCTACGAGTCAGAACTGGGTTGACCATCTAACAACCACCGCCCCTTCACACGATGTGAGACCAGGAGGCAGTTACTCCAGGACATGAGACCCCGTGGATGGCAACTGGTACTGGAGAGATCAGACCTTCACCAAAGCATCTAGCCTTGGGCCACAAATCCAAACCTTCAAATCAATTCCCCGCCACTGGGATTCATTCCTAGTGCCACCAGGGCTCCTTGGACAGAGCCAAGAAAATCTCAACCTGCGGGGGAGACATTCACATGTCTGTTTGCAACCATCAATGTCAGTCCATCTGCTGCAGGGCAGACATGCCCATCGAAAGACCACGTGCTGTCCTTGGGGTGAGGACTTTGCCCCGGCGGGAAAGATAGGGTCTGGCGTGGGCACAAGAGAAGAAGAAGGCTGCCAGATGTGGAACCAGGCATTGTGTGAGCAAAGGCAGTGGGCAGGACAGGCGACCCGATTTGGGAGCCTGGTGCAAAACGGAGATGCAGGACTCCTGTTCAAAACTAAGCAAGGACTCCAAGGTCTCAGCAGCAGGGCATTGCGTCGAGTGGGCAGCCCGGTGCAGCCACACAGGTCGGATAACCACGTGGCGGGCCCTGGTAGGGGTCAGGCTTGGTGTCGCCAGAGTCAGAGTGGTGACCTGGGGCATTAGGAAGGGTGAGGTCGAGGCCAGCTGTCCATGGTTGAGGTCTCTCTGGACCATCCCTGCAATAGGAACCATGGAGTCTATCGGCGCCCGGGAGGAGGCCCCGGGCGAGCGCACTGGTTGTTTCCACAGGTACCATCTGCCTTGGAGGCTCAGACCCAGCCGGGGAGGGAAGCCATTCCTCAGGGCTGCCCTGGTTGGCTCCAGAGCTGTGCCCTCCTTGGGGAATGACTGTGGCCAAGCAGTCTTTGGAATTTGGGAGGGGCTTGATCATTGAACATGGGATTGGCAGGCAAAGTTCCCCTGGGGCCCATGGGGGTGCGGGGTGTCTAGGGTTGAGTAAGGCCGCTGCCAACTTGAAGAATTGCCTTTTCCTCCAAAGAGTTGCTCTGGAGGAGGCCTGGTACTTCCCCTTGGCTTGCTGAAGGCCTAGGGGGAGACAGTCGCTTCCCTGATGTCCAGAGGTGTCCTGTGGGCCTCTGTCCATGCATGTACTCACATGCACACACAAGCACATGGGGGGGGGCAGCGCTTTAAAATGTTCATGGACAAGTAGAATTAAAAGATCATGGGATTTTTTTTTCCCATGAATTTTTTGAAGCTCCTTCGTCTCTACACAGGGCCAACTCAGACACGAATGGCAGACAGTCCAGTGAGACACGAGCTGGTATTGCTCTGCAGACAGACTTTCAGGCTGAGAATACGGACACTCAAAACAAAGACTCCCACCCCACCCCTAATCTTAATCCTCTTGCTGTTGTTCAGAATAGACGCAGCAAACTCTACACCAGTTCAAGAGTCCAGATTCTACACGTACCACCTCCTGGTCTTGCGTCCACTCCTCTAGTTGTGTAACTGTTCTCCCCTCTTCTTCTGAGTTGTTCATACCCCACCCCACCCCCCAAAAAGCTGGCCGACAACTGGGACAGTATCATATTCATTCCAACTTTTGAAGCTGGCTAGAGGCGGAGCCAGGAACAAAGGCTGAGAAGAAATGGCCTGGAGGCCGCAGGAACACTGCCTAAAAGAGAAAGAATAGAGCAGTGTCTAATATGCCTATTTAATCTGTGCTCTTTCGTTCTTCTTTATTTGGAAAGAAAATTCAAAGGAGATACTTGCAAAATCACAGTGTCCCATGGAGAAAGGGGCTCTGGCCAAGCAGTTAGGCTGCTAACCTGGAAATTACCATCTCAGAAACCTTACGGGACAGGTCTGCTCTGTCTTACAGGGTCGCGATGAGTTGGAGCCAACGGGATGGCAGCAGCTTGTGTTTCTGCGGTTTTAGCTTTTATTGTTAACCAGGTAAAGGTCACAGAGCAGACACGTGTTTTATGTTCACCCACTCACCGGACTTCCCATCACCTTGCCCTGTGTTTCCACTGTTTGCCTCCTCCTCCTCTTCCTCCTCTTGGATGTTGTTCCCAGTCTGTCCTCTAGCCTGCGCACTCTCCTTCCCTCCGTCCTGCTCCCAGCCCTGGCAACCCAAGAGTCTGTTTCTTTTAGTGTGAAAACCTTTCCTTGATTAAAAAAATAATAATAATAACAGTGGTCTCATAAATAGCTGCCCTTTTCAAACACGACTCTATTGGGAGGGGCAGTGTGAAATGTGGGACCGCT